AATGAGAGTCAGAGTCAAATAGGGGTCATTTCTAAAAAAGGAGGGCAAGCATGTGAGTAGCATGTGTGAAGAACTTCCTATTCCCTGCTCTTATTCAGGTGTTAATGAGTTTGGATCAGCTTTGGGAAGGCCACTGTGATGTCATGAGGCTTGTTGTGGGGGAGAGCAAAGTATGGCTTTCACGGAATAGAGAGAATAGAAAACCCAACGTTTTTTACTTAAAGGTCCCCTATTATACTGTTTTCCATCAATATATCACAGGTCTCAGATATATACAGAGCCTGTCTCTGATTGGCTGAAACACCAAACAGATCATTGCAGCATTACCCATAATCCCCTCTGTTTCAGCCCTGTTTATATAAATGGATCAGGACAAAAAGAGAGAGAGAATATTTGTTCCTGAAACTTTCAGAGGGCCCTTCTCACTTCTCTTATTTTTCATTTCCTCGCTCCTCGGTCTCACCGGAAGTTGATTTGTCTGCGCAAATGTCAGACGATCAGCTGTGTGACGTCATCACAAACGGACGTCGCTTCACGTGACGCTCCGGAGGAAAGGACGTCCCCATTGCTCTTAAAACTCATTTCCCTGCTTCTCGTGGTTTCCTTGCGTCTCTCCATGCTTCCCTGGTGGGAGGGACTAGTCACAGGGAAACGACGCAAGTGAGGGACGCAAGGAATCCATTTAACCGAAGTGAGATGGGGCCAGAGTCTCTTTCCACAGAGGGGACACATGTTGATGTAGAAGAGACATGAAGAAGAGGGGACACATGTTGATGTAGAAGAGACATGAAGAAGAGGGGACACATGTTGATGTAGAAGAGACACGAAGAAGAGGGGACACATGTTGATGTAGAAGAGACATGAAGAAGAGGGGACACATGTTGATGTAGAAGAGACATGAAGAAGAGGGGACACATGTTGATGTAGAACAGACATGAAGAAGAGGGGACACATGTTGATGTAGAAGGGACATGAAGAAGAGGGGACACATGTTGATGTAGAAGAGACACGAAGAAGAGGGGACACATGTTGATGTAGAAGAGACACGAAGAAGAGGGGACACATGTTGATGAAGAAGAGACATGAAGAAGAGGGGACACATGTTGATGTAGAAGGGACATGAAGAAGAGGGGACACATGTTGATGTAGAAGAGACACGAAGAAGAGGGGACACATGTTGATGTAGAAGAGACACGAAGAAGAGGGGACACATGTTGATGTAGAAGAGACACGAAGAAGAGGGGACCACATGTTGATGTAGAAGAGACATGAAGAAGAGGGGACACATGTTGATGTAGAAGGGACATGAGAAGAGGGACACATGTTGATGTAGAAGAGACATGAAGACGAGGGGGACACATGTTGATGTAGAAGAGACATGAAGAAGAGGGGACACATGTTGATGTAGAAGAGACATGAAGAAGAGGGGACACATGTTGATGTAGAAGAGACGCTGAAGAAGAGGGGACACATGTTGATGTAGAAGAGACACGAAGAAGAGGGGACACATGTTGATGTAGAAGAGACATGGAGAAGAGGGACACATGTTGATGTAGAAGAGACATGAAGAAGAGGGGACACATGTTGATGTAGAAGAGGACATGAAGAAGAGGGGGACACATGTTGATGTAGAAGAGACATGAAGAAGAGGGGACACATGTTGATGTAGAAGAGACATGAAGAGAGGGGGACACATGTTGATGTAGAAGAGACATGAAGAAGAGGGGACACATGTTGATGTAGAAGAGACATGAAGAAGAGGGGACCATGTTGATGTAGAAGAGACATGAAGAAGAGGGGACACATGTTGATGTAGAAGAGACATGAAGAAGAGGGGGACACATGTTGATGTAGAAGAGGACAGTGACGAAGAGGGGACACATGTTGATGTAGAAGAGAACAGAAGAAGAGGGGACACATGTTGATGTAGAAGAGACATGAAGAAGAGGGGACACATGTTGATGTAGAAGAGACATGAAGAAGAGGGGACACATGTTGATGTAGAAGAGACATGAAGAAGAGGGGACACATGTTGATGTAGAAGAGACATGAAGAAGAGGGGACACATGTTGATGTAGAAGAGACATGAAGAAGAGGGGACACATGTTGATGTAGAAGAGACATGAAGAAGAGGGGACCACATGTTGATGTAGAAGAGACATGAAGAAGAGGGGACACATGTTGATGTAGAAGAGACATGAAGAAGAGGGGACACATGTTGATGTAGAAGAGACGTGAAGAAGAGGGGACACATGTTGATGTAGAAGAGACATGAAGAAGAGGGGACACATGTTGATGTAGAAGAGACATGAAGAAGAGGGGACACATGTTGATGTAGAAGAGACATGGAAGAAGAGGGGACACTATGTTGATGTAGAAGAGACATGAAGAAGAGGGGACACATGTTGATGTAGAAGAGACATGAAGAAGAGGGGACACATGTTGATGTAGAAGAGACATGAAGAAGAGGGGACACATGTTGATGTAGAAGAGACATGAAGAAGAGGGGACACATGTTGATGTAGAAGAGACATGGAGAAGTGGATTTTGCATGATAGGTGACTTTTAAAAGACGTTAGAAAGTATGACAGACCGATACAAATCCTGTCTCAGTCGGGTTGGCTTTCTAAGTGTCTCTGGGACAGAGGTGCGAAAGGACTAAATTGTTCGCTGAAATGCAGGAAGGAAGAGAAAACGGCATTAATGCAGGGTTTTAAAATGACAATTCAGACTGGAGAGGAAAGAATAAGGACACGTATCTCTTCTCAGGGAATAAAGGAATGTGAATGCACTACAAGACAGGTGAGATGCTTGAAAGTGAATCATCTCCAAGTTGCTATAGGATGAATAAAGGCAAGAAGTGGGAACAGGAGGAAGAGTAATCTCCTGGCATACATATTAATGCTCCCATTCCTCTCTATATCACAAGGTAGGGATGTGCCATGTGCCTGATATCTGAGCTGTAAGAGGCAGCTACGGATGTGCTTTAGCAGAGAATATGAAACTAATGAGTGATATATAAGAAGTGCATCGCCTACACACACACACACACACACACACACACACACACACACACACACACACACACACACACACACACACACACACACACACACACACACACACCCACACACACACACACACACACACACACACACACACACACACACACACACACACACACACACACACACACACACACACACACACACACACACACACACACACACACCACACACACACACACACACACACACACACACACACACACACACACACACACACACACACACACACACACACACACACACACACACACACACACACACACACACACACACACACACACACACACACACAACACACACACACACACACAGAGAGAGAGGCTCTTTGTGCAACAAGAAGGCTGGAGCGGGGAGGGACGACTGAGAGCCGTTACACAATCTGAGGGGAAGACTTAATGGAGATGACTCGTCTACTGTGAGCAGTGACATTTACCAGAAGAGAGTATCAGGGAAAACAACCACACACACACACACACACACACACACACACACACACACACACACACACACACACACACACACACACACACACAGATCATAATGGTGACTTCTGGGCAGTGGTGAAACAGATATTCCCATTAATTCAAGGTTTCAGTGAAAGTTTGAGAAAGTCTGAGGACATGAGAGTGCTAGAAAGCTGCATAGTAGAAATAGTACGCACAGATGATATCTAAGCTGCTTCCTGTTGGTAAACAAAGCCTCAGTCCCTTTCATGGCTGGCTGTTTTTAGATCAGTGCATACAGAAATGTGCACTGCTCATCCATCCTCTCTGATGTGACACATGAAGCAAGTGAAGCCTGTTCAGTCTTGCATTACACTCTAAATCCTGAACATGTCTGGAGAGCCAAAATCAGGAATTAGTATTTAGAAATTAGCCACACCGGTTCTCCCCGTATTTCACACATTGACGAGGTAAGCTTTGGTTCAGATTGTATGATTCCTCGAGAGGGTAAAGAGTTTAGTGTAGGCTGACGGAGTGACCCAGCAGTATCCTCTCTCCATCTAAAACACATAACCGTAGACTTTCCTAGAATCATGTTTCCTGAATCTCCCCTCTGGTCCTACACTGTGATTTGTGACTGGACTTTGATGTAGAACAAATATCGCCTTGGGCCTTTACATATTTGATGAGACAATCTAAATATAAGCATGTGGGGGTTTATACATTAAAAAAACATCTTCGCATTGTGAAAACTACCTTCCACATCCACCTCGACAGTGACACACACATATACACTTCAAACTGGGTTTATAGGATGCATATATAGGGATTTGATGTAAGATAAGTTATTACAGTTATACATAAAACTGAAAGATGTTTATTCTGCCTACCTTTAAACTGCAATGTGAAACCAAAAAGTTTAAGAAAGTGAAAATGGAAGAAACATATCTGCACTGAGACAAAATCCCTAAAAGCTTGACTCATATACTGTCAATTGTGTGTGTGTGTGTGTGTGTGTGTGTGTGTGTGTGTGTGTGTGTGTGTGTGTGTGTGTGTGTGTGTTGATGTAAAATAAGTTATCTCAGTTATTATACATAAAACTGAAAGATGTTTATTCTGCCTACCTTTACACTGCAATGTGAACCCAAACATTTTAAGAAAGTGAAAATGGAAGAAATAATTATCTGCACTAATACAAAATCTCTAAAACTTGAGTCATACACTGTCAATAACCTGTGTGTGTGTGTGTGTGTGTGTGTGTGTGTGTGTGTGTGTGTGTGTGTGTCAAATAAGTTATACATAAAACTGAAAACTTAATTCTGCATACTTTTCAACTGCCATGAGAACCCAAAAAAAGTTTTATGAAGTGAAAATGGAAGAAAAATATCTGCAGAAATACAAAAACTGTAAAGGCTTGACATATATACTGTCAATAACCTGTGTGTGTGTCCGTGTGTGTGAGTGTCAGTGTGTGTGTATTTCAACTTACGATCTAGTCCGTTGACATAGCGAGTCGTAACTTCACAGTGCCCCCACACCGCGCTGACGATGGGATACAGTCTCTTTCCTTTAAGTCCTCTGAACGCTACTCCCAGATATTGTCCGTCCACCATGAAGCTCAGCGTTCCCTCGTCCATATCCAGTATCACCATGAGCGAGTCGGGAAGCACGAAGGACTCGTCGGGCTCCAGGAAGCACGGGTACGTCGGCACTGGCGTGGAAGCGGGGCGGTTCTTCCCGTCGTGGTAGAGTCTGTTTCTGCCCAGGTCCCAGCCCCAGGACTCAGAGTCCGCTCCCACCAGCGCCGTGTAGCCCACCGAGTGTAACGACGCTTCAGCGGAGGCCACGCCCACAACCGCGTGCGTCCCTCTCTGTCTGCACGGCCAGTGGATCCTCCAAACGTGAAGCCCCCGAGTGTAACCCACTTTCCCCCGGATACAGTCTGTGCTCTGAGCCACGGGGTGCCGGTGAAACGTCAGCTTGTCGTCCTCCTTCACGAAGACGTTGAGCGACCGGTCGTCCGGATTCCAGGAGTGATGGAGTTGCGTTTCCAGGCTGGCCGACGGCATGTCGAGAAGTAAGTCGAGTCGCGGGGGCCGACAGAAGTCCGGACCCCGAAGTTCTCGACGTACCGGGCGATATGAGGGCTCCCCGCGAACATCCACTGACTTTATACTGCCAGAGATCTTCTGTCCCATGGCTGGGAGGAGGGGGTTTGAGGGACGGGGGAGAGGGGGACGGGGGGTGGATTGAGGGTGGTAATGGGGAGGGGGTTTTGGTTCCTGACGTTACCTCATAGGTGCAGTGGCAACACAGAGGGTCCGGGGTGGAAAGGTGCTTTAGGAAAACACGCTGTCTTTAGCGAGGGGGAACCACACTCCTGAAACACACACATTGAAAACATTAAGTATCTCTTGTTTAGTGATTATTATAAGAAGGAGAATAACAACAACAACAACAACAACAACAACGAGCAGGAAGGGAGAAAAAAATCACAATGTTTACAGTACTATTTAAATATGATTGTTAGAATGCTTTAAAATATGACTCAGTCAAATGATAATTTTTTGCAGTTTTTCTTGTATTACATAAGGCTATACCCATACCACGAAGGTCTGTTGTTTACAGTACTGAAGCAATTTAGCTAAACAAATAAACATTTGATGATGACATTTAAGCACAAAACAACACGTTTGAAAAAGTCACCTTGGACTCTGGGAAAGTGGTTTTTCAGATGTTTTATGGACTGTTATTACATCGCATAGAACAAACACTTGGCAATAGATTGGCAATGAAAATATTCGTTAGCTGCAGCCCCACAGTGCTCATAAAACTTGATAACCAAAAGACTTATGTATGCGCATCCAAAACAGAGACAGCATTACAAGTGCTGGCCGACAGCCAGAGCTGCAGAGAGGAGGGGGGGGGGGGGGGGGGGGGGGGTGACAGGGGAGGAGAAATGAAGGATGAACCTCTCTAGCATTATTTCCTATCTTCAGTTACCAGTCTGACAAGCACATATTTCAGTTGTTCTGTGTGTGGGAATGTGAACTTTTTCTAATACTTTCACAGTCATTTCAACAGTAAACACTTTGAGCTGGAGGCTAGAATAGTGGTCTATGATGTGTTTTGCTCAAAATACCAAACAGATCATGCATTTTAGACATCCCTCATATCCCTATATTTCAGGCCTGCAGATTCGGGGTCCTTAGCTTGAAAAAAAGAAAAAGAGGGAGAGCTAATGCCTGCTCAGAATTCTACGAGATACTCAGTTGCCGTATCATATTCCAAACCACATCAAGGATTATTTCTGAAACAGTATGGAGCTCAAATGCTTTTTGCAAAGTTCCTTTTTACTTCCTGCTTCTTCACACACATGCTCTCCAGTACAGCGTTAGCTCTGAGTGTTAGCGATGCTAATGTAAACACTGACCATATTACGTCCAAAACAGTCGGGCATTGTTTCTGATAGCAACGTTTCTGATTGGGCCGTGGGTCCACATTTCAGATATTACGTCATATCGGACGCAAATCTGGATCAGCTCCGTTGTTCCCCGTTTTTAGAGATTTGGGTACGGAGGAAAAGAGAGAGGGTTTTATTTCCTGACGCTGCGTGAGTTCCCCGACACACCGGGGACACATGTTGATGTATAAAAGACATCAAAAAGTGCATTTTGCATGATAGGTCCCCTTTTACACAATATGAAATGAGACATACCAACTAGGACTAGTTGTTATCTTGTTCCCCTGCAGACCATTTACAGGCACACAAACCTATATAAACACACTACAGGAGAGGGGAAAACCCCCAAAGCATAGCATCTAAGGGTTTAGTGCCTTTAAAGTAACACAAATTCCTTGAGCAACCCTCCAATAATTAAATATGAACACAGACAAAGGGAGGATTTGCGCAAACTTGCTGCTGACGTCCTCAGAAAACAGTCATGCAGTACTCCCTCTTAGCCAATCCCTTCTTCACAAAGCAAAGTTTTGCAATTCTTGTTTTTCTAGGAGAAAATGTGATATGTACTCGCTAAAGCTTTCACAGCAAGTCAATATACAGCTCTAATCTACTTTAAACCATGTTTCCGATTACAACCGAGTGGAGAGAAGCTGTGCTGGACAGACATTACTCTCCCTATATGCACTCCAATGTTTTCCTCACTCCCCTATAGTTTCTCAGGAAGGTTCTCCACATGACTCTTCCAGGGAAAGTACAGAACATTAACTGGTAGTGACCCATGGGGGGAGGGTTTAATCACACACACACACACAGATGCAGGTGTACTGTTAATACACTGGAATGGATGAAAGGACAAAAAACAAACTACTAATTTCAACTTCGAAGTTAAAAAGGCAGAAAAAAAACATCGTTAACTTGTTATTCATCTGTATTTATGATTAACTTTCCCCCCTTCATTCACACCACTTTCAGAATGAAGTGATACTATAAAAAGGCATGTCTTGTTTTAATTTCAATCCATGTAAAGATATGTTTTTATCCCGAGTAGTTCTGTGAGTCGATTAAATAAATAAATCGCTTTATTCACAATTAATATCTGTGATAAACATGTATTTGATTCCTCTGCCGATGGATAACGGCAGGAAGTTCGGGTCAAACTTATTAATGTGATTACATTAGTAGATTTTAAACGTTTTCTAAGATTAATTGCATATGTTATCAACCCTACATTTGAGCAAAGTACATGTATGGACAAACCAAGACATCATCTTACTTAGTACTCATATTCAAAGCGTACAAAGTCTGCACAACATAAGACAATGGTTCATGCATTTCAATAAACAGCCAAGCGTTGCATTATTTAAATCTCATCCGCCATATTTTAAATGACAAGGCATGAATTCATTATTTCTTTTGCGTTTCAACAGTCCGTTTATGAGTTAGAAAGTTATGAGTTGTGGAGATGCAAGGACGTGCCAGATAAGGAAATAAAGTGTACAGCCAACAGCTTGACGAATGGGCAAGACTGACGACGACTCAAAACAAACTCATTTACAGAACGCTTCCTCATAACCATAACCCATAAAAAGTGACAAGCTCTTCATTTCCATATTAATTCATTCACACCAGGCATGACGCACGAAGCCATTGTAATCACGGCGGCCATCAACCATCCAGTTGACATTTGCTAATGTGTGCAATATAATAGGGATGTCACGAGAAACAATACTTTTGGAACCGAGTCAATGCCAACATTTAGAGAAAGGGGCATATTGTATCTGTCTTTATTACGCAGGAAACCGTAAAAGAATGTGTTCAAATATGGGCTTTTAAAAGATTGGCTTTGGTGTGAAACTTAAATAAATACAGACGTTTTCAAACGCATAATAAAATGGATATTCGAGAGGTAATTAAGACTCGTTTAACTTCGCAACAGAAGCTAGTATGCCTATGGTTAATAGATGTGTTTTAACTTCTACACATGACTTTTTCTAGTATTGCGACATCCATTAATATGCCTGACAAAAAACAGGCCCTCACTACTCATGCTTTTTGCTGGGAATTCCTCAAGTACTAACCGTCAGTGGGGAACAATGGGCCAAAGACATGAAGAGATGATTTATGGGAATCAGAAGGAACAGAGTGTGAAAATGTGATGAGGAAGAGCAAAATATGTCATGTTTGCTTCCGATTAATTTCTAATATGCACAGCGCCATACCAGGGTTTCCGCCATCGGATACCCCCCCCTGAAATTCAAGGTGTTACATTTTTTAATTTTGAACCAAATTGCAACTAATCTATATATACTGTCACTTTTCACATTGAACATGTGCTCTTTTATTAAATAAACTAAACGCTTTCATTTTAAGTTGTGAGTTTAGTGTTTTTGACCCTAAGAAACACTGATGCACTAATCAATAACAATAATCCACAGCTCCTCTCGCTGCTCCAGAGGATTTAAAATATATATATCCCCGGCTCTGTTGTGATTGGTCAACCAGCTTAGAGATGTTCCGCCCCTTAGCCTATCACGTACAATGTGTTGGAGCGCTAGCCAATAGAAGCACAAGTGTTACATAGTGATGAATTTAAGATTGGCAGGTGTGTAGGAGGCGCAGTGGATAGAGCCTTGTGTTGTGATCAGGGGGTCACAGGTTCAAACCCCACTGCAGTCGTTGTGGGCAAGACACTTCACCCCAAAGTGCTCCTGTGGGGATTGTCCACAGTATTGAGTATGTAAGTTGCTGTCTAACAAGTGACATGTAATGTATTTTGTAAATTGTTCCAATTTAACAAAAAGATTATGCATGCTTCTTAGTCAACATTAAGCTGTCTTTGACTCTTTTCTTGCTGTAACAAATGCAACGTTCCCCTCTGTTGGAAGAATAAAGGTATTCTGAAACACACTACAGGAAAATGAAATCACAATAGGGCCTATTTAACGTGTGCTTGCCTCTTATGCTGAAATTATGTAAAAAGGAAATAACTTCTAATCCCCAGACTCTGAGTCTATTATTACTTGCACATTTTAAAGTATGCTTATTATTGGTAGCACTGGTCATATACAATAGTTTCCCTGAGGAAATCAGATGCCTCACACTTGTCTGTCTGAGTACCAGGGGCTCAAGTATCACAGCAGTACTTCAATAGCAATAATTGAGTTTAACCAAGGGGAGAAAATGTAATTATCACCTTCTTGTCCATCCAGCAGTCTATAAAACAGTACCCAGTTCAAATGTTCTTTTTGTGCTAAGTCCAGGCAGTGATTTGGGATTCAAGCCAGAGGGTGTTTTGGAGACAGACAGAAAGTCACAGAAGTGCTGCTGTCTGCCTCTCCATGCGAACCCTTTGGGGATATTCAATGTCATCCACATTGAAATGCTGACATCAAACAGCCACTTCCAGCTGGTGAATATAAAACTTCAAATCAACTTCGCCACAGTGCTTGACCACCAGAACTGTGTGTGTGACATCTTGAGGAAAATGGCAGGAGACGTAGTGACAACAAGAAAAAAAGGGGACATACTGCTGGTTTCACACCAACAGGAACAGCTACCCATCGATATGAGCATGTGTTTGCAACAGGGGGTGAGGATGAGGAAGAAGCTGGGATAATATGAAAAAGGTGAGAGAAAGGAGAGAATAGAAAGCTGACTGAAGAAGGTCCAGACTCTGAGAGGAGCAGTGGACGATGTGTGACTGATTTGGCAAAAAGCGTAAGATTTAAAAAGGAGAAATTCAATAGCGGCAAGTATTTCCAAATATAAACTTAAGGCAAGGTTATTTATAGAGCACCTTTCAACGCAAGGCAATTCAAGGTGCTTTACAAAAATGAAAGACATTCAGACAAAGGCATTTAAAAACAGTAAAAGATAATAAAAGAAACATTAAAAGAAAAAATACATGAATATAAAAT